TCACACATTACTTTTTAGCATGAACATCAGCTAATATTTGATATTGTTGACAGTTCTGACATTTTATAATTTGATATCTCCTCCATTACTTAGTTTTTTTACTTTATTTCGTAAATAATAGTTCTTCAGTTAGCAATTGTATTAAAAATCTACAATTATGGATCCTTCTACACTGAGTACTATTAAAGGTAGCAATTCCTGAAAAGCCTTACAAGAAAGGGAAGACACCTTATTATTTTACATGCTGATTCTGAAGGTTTTGTAGAAAATGCATTATTGGTTTTTGAAGGTAAAAAGATGGGAGATTACCATGAAGAGATGAATTCCGAAGTATTTTAGAAAAAAAATTTATTACTGATTTTTTAAAACTAGAAATTGATGAATTTCTAACCAAAATGATTAAAATGTAACTAAATATTCAAGCAAATTTTATTTATTAGAATGGAATAAAACTATTTACAAAATTGGTATAACATTTAAAACACCATCCACTACTTTAGGGATAATCTTAATTTGGCACAATGAGTTAACATTATTTTCACAAAAAATATTTTAAAAATACTTAAAATTAATACATAGGTATGTATGAATAGTTCACTTTAAAAAATATATGTTGACATGTAGTGTTATGAAAATTTTGGTTCCAGTTTTCAAAACAAATTTTGACTCATAGGCCTGTAAACTTTTGAATGCCTTTATTTGCCCTCTAGCGCATTAACCATGGGTTAACACTAAATAATATCCACATTACTCATAGAAGAGATACCAGTTACTGTGTGATCCACTTGTCATTCACTGATTAACTTTTACTTTTTATACCTATAACAAATATATCCTTTTAAATGTAAACATATCTTTATATTTTATACTAACCTGGCTACATCTGGATATTCCATTAACAATTTTCTTAAATATTTATTATCCATTTTAAAAAGATCATAGTTATTCTCAAAAAGTCGATTTCAAAAGCAAGAAAAAAGTATTTCTGACATCAATCAACAACCATATTGACTTTAATTTGACAGTGACATTTCGTTTTAGACACACATTTCAGATCACAATAATGTGAAATTTGCGACCGTTGTCTGGGACCAATTAAAAAATTACTTCTATGACATTTATTCGTTTCTTAACCGCTCATTGGCCGTTCACCGACTAAGGCCGATAAAGATAATTATTTCATAAATTTTGAACACGACTATATTTCGAAACTCTCTCTTAGTAACAAATCTAGTTACTTTTCCCTGTGTAAATGCGTCTTTTCAATTCGCTCCTCCTAGTTTAAAAACAGAGTATAGTGACTATAGAGTACCTAAAATTGGAAAAAAAGTTGGGTCATTCCATTTAAAAAAAAAAAAATAAGTGATTTGCCTAATTTACTATTGGGCCACCCTGTACACAAAAAAATAATTTTGGGATATTTGGTTTTGACCACCATTGACAGGTATACTTCGAATAAATCGTTAAGATTTGCATAATAGGAGTTATAGAACTACGACAGAGGTTTGGCCAACCCTGTATAAACATAATGAGGAGTTGATTAGTAAAATGATGGATAGGCAAAGAAGAGCCTCAATTACTATTGTAAACAATATTAATGAATCGAAAATGACGTCTAATCAAGAACGTAATGTTGAAGATTGTACTACCATTTAAGAAATCATACAGAATTTTAATATTGATAAAAGTAAAATTAAATCTTTTAGATTGGGAAAGTTCCTTCCGTCAAAAATAAGACCCATTAAATTTATTTTGCCTTCGTCGGAAAATGTTAAACTGATTTTAAAAAACAAAAATCTAGGTCAGGAAACTAGTGTGAAAATTTATTCCGACCAGACAAATGCGCAGCGAGAATACTTAAAAAAGATTAAAATTGAATTACAAACTCTCATTGAGAATGGTGAAACTAATAAAACTATCAAATATATTAATGACAAGCCAAATATTGTTGATAATAATAAAAAAACACTAATTGAGAAACCTAATATACCATTAAATTCTGATATTATTTATGTCAATGCTAAAAGTTTAATTAGTAATTTTGATCAAATATCTGATAGCCTAATTTGCTTTAATCCCAAAGTATTGTTACTAAGCGAAACTAAAACAATAACAGATATTGAAAATAATGAAATAACTATAGAAAATTACAAATGTATCCGCTGTGACTCCCAAAGTCGACATACAAGAGGAATTGTAATTTTGAAGCCATTTGTGACAATATTGTTTCTAAAGTACATAGATTTGTATTAGTAGGTGATTTTAATTTAAATTTGCTTGGTGAGTTTTTATGTTAACAAAATTAAGAACCTTTTCTCAAGCTATGGTATCCAACAAAAATTTACTAAACCTACGCGAGTAACTATTGATAGTAAGTCTCTAGTCGATTTTGTATTAACTAATGATGATAATTGTGATGCTGAAGTTCATGATACTCCGAAAATCAGTGATCATTCTGTGATTTCTGTAATTTTTTCCAATACAAGCAATACTTCAAACAAAGTTATAAAAAAGTATAGGAATTATAATGAAACTAACATTTTTAACATACAAAATGATCTGACTATGTGCAACTGGAATCTTAATACTATTGATGTTGAAGTAATTTATCATGAGTTATATTCAAATTATGAAAGTGTAATTAATAAGGTTGCCCCTATTCAGACATTTAAGTATAACCCTAATGTACCATGGTTTGATAATGAAATTTACAATAAAATTAAAATCCGAGATAATGCTTACAAGTCTTTCAAGTCATGTGCAGAACATCAACAGCTGAATATGTGAAATAAATTTAACAAGTGTAGAAATGAGGTAGTTAATTGCTGAAATAAAAAAAATCCACTTATTATTTTAAAAAAATTGATTGTTTCAAAGAAAATCCTAAAGAGATGTGGAACACTTTAAAAAAACTAGTAAATATTAAATTAAATGATGTGACTGATCATGTTCAATTTAGTGATCAAACAGGCCAGATTATCCTTGATGATAATGTTGACATAACAACTAAATTTAACGCATTTTGTTGAAAGTATTATGGATATTATTGGAAGTAATAATAATAATAATAATAATAATAATAATAATCTCCCTAATTCACCCGCTTACGAGTGAATTTCAACTCCTGAAGTCGACTGAACGACTTGTGTAGGGGAAGGGACGGCTATTATTATTATTTATCCCGATAGTATTGATGCAACTGTTCCCTGGCATAATCTAAACAATAATTTATACTTACCATTTCACAACTTTAATTTACTAACTTTGCATGACTTATATAAAATTTTGAACTTGTTAGATAATAAATATTCTGCATTTAATATTCTTAATTCTAAAGTTCTAAAGGAAGTGTATGCAACAATTGGGCACATTATTTTAAACTTAATTAATACCTCACTTGATACTGGCAAAGTTCCATCTTAACTAAAAATTAGTACTATTGTTCCAATTCAAAAAGTTAATAATACAATAAAATCGGAAGAATTTGGGCCTGTAAATACTCTCCCGTCAATTAAAAAGGTATTAATATGTATGAACAACTACTTGAACATGTTAATAATAATTCTATTTTAATATCTAAATAGTCTGTGTTCAGAAAAAAGTATTCCTGCGAGTCTGCATTACATTTATGCTAAGTGAATTTAAAAATGATGTGAATGAGAATAAATATATAGTAGCTGTTTTTTTAGACCTGAAACGTGCATTTGAGGCCATTGATAGGGGTATTTTACTTAAGAAAATTCAACAATATGGAGTAGGTGAAAAGTATACCAATGGCTGAATAATTATCTGCAAGGTCCTAGACAAAAAGTACATTTTAACAATCAGATATCACCCGAGATTAATATTGACACAGGGGTTCCGCAAGGAAGTGTCCTAGGGCCGCTGCTTTTTATACTATATTTGAATGATATTGGACTGTTTGTTGATTGTAAATTCATTAATATCTTTGCTGAGACACTCTGCTAGCTTGCTCTGATGTAAATTTGATGAGAGCAATCGAGAAAATGAAAAAAATACTGGAGAAAGTTGCCCAGTATTTTTAATTTAACAAATTAAAATTAAATATAATTAAAACAAAAGCACTTATTTTTCGGAGCTGGGAGTAACGAAACAAAAACGTAACTTTCTAGTAACGCGTTACTTAAAGTAACGCGTTACTAGTAATTTCGTTACTTTTCTAAATCAGCGAAAAGTAACGGTAACGCCGTTACTTTTTCAAAGTAACGTAAAATCGTTACTTCGTTACAGTAACGCGTTAGTGCAAAAATAACTCGTTACTACAAAAGTAACGCGTTATTACAAGTTAACGCGTTATTACAAGTAAGGCGTTACTGCAAAAGTAACGCGTTACTGCTTAAAACTGAGGTTTTTATTTGTTTTACAGTTTTATCCCGTGCATTTCGCACGCTTCGATAATAGTGATAATACATAATTATGTGCACTACATCCCACACAAGACTACTTGAAACACAAAGAGGATGTAAATGTAAAGAACAGGACAAAAAAGTGGTCAAATCAAATGACCTATTTCAAACAAGTAATTCAACTCAATTGGACATAGCTCAATCTTTTCAAAGATCCAAAAAAATAACACAAGCACAGTTTGACCAACGAATTATTAATTTTATTGTTGACACAATGTCGGCTGTATCGTTTGTTGATCATCCAAGTTTTACTGGATTATTTCAAGGAATTAACGTAAATGTTATGAGTAGAAAAACTACTGCAGATATTTGGTCTTATAAAAAAGGGGAATTTTTGGGGTGTGACGTGTCACTGGACAGGGGGTTATTTAAAACGAAAGTCAGCAGCTATTGCTTGTAGAAGGTTTTCAGGACGTCATACATATGAGGGAATAGCAGTAATATTAAATATTATTCACATGTCTTTTGGTTTAGATGATCGGAAACTGGTGGCAATAGTTACAGATAATGGATCAAATTTTTAAAAGCATTTGGTATAAACAGTGTATATATTAAGGGGTTATTTGCTTCTAGGGAAATAGAGGATGATAAAAATTTAGAACAGGAAGAAGGTATAGAAGATATTTTATTTTTGCCAGCACCAATAGATCCTGACGAAAATATATCATATTCTATTACCATACCATACCATATGCGCTGCGCATCACATATTTTAAATTTAATTGCTTCTGCAGATATTATAAATAAAAGAAACAAAAACGCTTCAATGAAATCTCGACATACAAACATTATATTTAAGGGTAATGTATTATGGAAAAAAGCTGAAAGGCCTAAATCAGCCGAAATAATAAAAAAAACGTTAGGTTATACAATTAGTTATCCTGCAATAACCCGCTGGAATTCTACTTATGATTCTTCATTTCCAATTTTAAAAAAAAAATTCTCTCCCACATTTATTATGGATACTTGCTGCCTACTATTATATTCTTATACCTGAAACTTAATCTTTTAAAAACCAAAAAGTCCTTAAAATATATGTTACCAATATTAGATGAATGTATAAAACCTATTCATTCCCGATTTTCAGACTTCCTAGAATTCTCGGATAAGACATATAATGCAGTAATTGCTACTGCAACAAACCCTATCCTTAAACTAAAATGGCCTGAATCAGTTGGTGAATTGGTTAAAGAATACACAGTTGATATTAAACAGAATATTGTAAATGAAGCTAAAGCGCTATTGAAAATTTATCAATCAACAGTATTAACTTTAAAAGAGAATATAAAGACATACACAAACATTAACTTTATTGAATTTCATGACAAGGAAGACAACTGTGTCACCGAAAAGGATAGACTCATAGCACAAGTTCTACAAATTTTGCAGGATCCCGATATTAATTTGTCTATGTTAAAAAAGTATCGGTACGTACAAAATGTTTTTATTACATTTAATACTCCATTACCTTCTTCAGCCCCAGTTGAACGTCTATTCTCGTATGCCACCTTTGTAAATCCGCCTAGAAGACATGCTTTATCTGATGAAAATTTAGAAAATCTAATTCTTTTGAATTATATAATTATGAGAATGAGGGTTAATGTGCTTGGAAGGTAAAAAGTTGTAAAATAAAATTAAAATGTTATACTTTAAATGTACCTAATTTCTTTAGTGTTTGTACTTTAGTAGTTTTATTACATTTATTATTTATTGTAATTAGATTTTTATTTATTTTTAAAGTTGTCTAGAGTGTTACCAGTATGTTGTTTTTTAATATTTGACATTTAAAAAACAGTCGGTTGCAAAAACGATGATTAATATTTAGTAGCCTGATCACATTAAAATTTGGCAGAGGTTTTGAATGGGTAATTTCATGATGTAGGTAGGTAAATACTAAGTGTATGGTTTATCCCGTATGTTACCGTTGCAACTTACAAACTTATAACTGCTAGAGTAAGACTGTTTATTTTTCAAGTGTTTGAGACATTTAGTTAAATAAAGCATGAATTACAAATAATATAACTTTCATTATCCCTTTCTTGTTCTATTCGCTCCGTGCGCGACAGCAGCGCCAATTTGTTTTGGTATTAAAGGAGTATTTCTGCCTATATTGACAAATACAATTTTTAATAGAATTCGTAAATAAAAAGTATATATGTTAGTTTTAATAAAAGTATATGGATTTATAAAACAATTAAAACATTAATTTATTATTATTATATATTTTTCACGCTTAAATTGAAGAAAATTATGTATAATCATTAAAAATCAATAATAAAATATAGGCAGGCAACAGTATTTACTGGAAAATGTATGAGAAGTTGCCTAAGTCTAATAAGTTGTCATTGAAGAAACCATTTATAATAGCGTGAAGTTAAAATGTATAAAAAGGATTGCTACTTATATTTTCATTTTTGTTCTAAAGAAAACATAGAATGAATGATTAAAACTGGTTTTCGATCAGTAAGTCACAAAATTGCATACCAGCCAAATATTATAATCAACGGCAGAAATCTTGAAATCTAGTCCTTGCTGAATGAACATTTAAGAATAAAGGGATATTAAAGAACATCGTAAAATGATAATTTATTGTTTATTTAAAAACTTTCTAGTTTCTGATGTCTACTATTTCCAGCATTACTGTTATTATCACAAAAATAAAGCTAATTTTTCTTCTTATTGTACACCTATCCATTTATTTCTTTGATTTAATTTCCACGTTTTTAGTGAAATTTGTTATATAAGTTTCACTGTTTTTTTTTGCTAGTATTTGTACAATTTTCAACACAGCAACTCCGGTTGCTTATTGTGTTGTTTTTACCTACTTTTTTGAAAAAAAGTAAAATGTATACGTGTATTTGATATGCCAAAATTACAAAATATCCCCCTAAAATGCACGAATTATCCGCAGCTAGCGCTAGTATCGCTTTTGCTTCCCTTTCCATGACTTCGCACGGAGCGAATAGTAAAAATGTACACCAACTTCTTATTAATTTATTTCCAAAAGTAGCGCTTTTTTAAAGTAACGCGTTACTTTTGCAGTCACGCGTTACTTTTTCAGTACCGCGTTTCTTTAAAAGTAACGAAGTTACAATAACGCGTTACTTTCGGAAAGTAACGAATAATTCGTTACTTTTTAAAAAAGTAATGGTAACGAATAATCGTTATCATTATACAGGGTGGCTCACGCTCAACGGGACGGAGCTTTATGGGAAAACTACCAAAGATATAACAAATTTGTTTGGGAGGAATACGTAGGTTACAGACGGCTACAATTTAAATTTTGTTAGATGTATAGAGGATGTCCCACATAAGAGAAAATATACAAAGTTATATTATTTTTATTGGAACACCCTGTTTTTTATTTTAGAATTAAAAACTACATCAAAAATAATGTCAGTTAACTAAAGATTCCCTATTACTATTATTAATATTTTTCGATTTATTTGAATTTTTAAGGAAAAAAAGTCTCCCAGAAATTAATTGTTTACTTTTGTTTACTCTGTATACATCTAACAAATTTTAAATTGTAGCCGTCTGTAACCTACGTATTCCTCCCAAACGAATTTTTTATATCTTTGGTCGTTTTCCCATAAAGCTCCGTCCCGTTGAGCGTGAGCCACCCTGTATAATATAATATAATATAACGCGTTACTTTCCATCAAAAGTAACGATAAAGTAACTGTCCCAGGTCTGTTATTTTTACAACTAAACATAAATATAGCTTACTTGGTATCAATGATGTTAATTTACAAATAAATGGTGAAAAAATCGCAATAGTCCCAACTATTAAGTATTTAGGTATCCAATTAGATAATCTACTTACTTATAATGATTTCGTTAATTATATTAATAAAAAAATTTGAAAAAATTATATTTCTTCTCTAGCATTTCAAATAACTTGTCAACTTCAACTAAAATAACAGTATATATAATATAAATATTCAGCCTCACTTCGATTATTGTGCCTTCATTCATTATTTATTTAAACTCAACAAGTTAATAATCAACTTCAAAAACTACAAAATCGAGGCATGCGCATAACATTAAAAACTAATCGTCTTACACCAATTGTCGCAATGTTAAATTCTCTTCAAAGGTTTTCGATTCAGCAAAGGTTATACTACTTGACAATTGTGTTTATTTATAAAATAATTCATTCTTTGGCTCCATCCTACTTTCATCAATTTATTTATTATCATGGGGATATTCATGATTACAGCACAAGATCAACTAACGATATATGCATTAAAAAAGTTAATTATTCGAAATCACAGGCATCGTAAAGGTTTCCAAGAATATAATGAACTGCCCAGGGGCTTATAAATCATTAGCAAGTTTAAAAAAAAAATTGACAACTTTTATTAAAACTGATAAAATTTTATTTTAACTTTTACATATTTGATTATTACATTTGTATTTTACTTTTTTATTTAATATTTGGGTTCATGCTTTCAACTGTTATTTGTTTAATTGTTAATTAAGGCTGTCACAACTCAAGATTAAAAGTATCTTTGTAATGTGTAACAAATTTATTTTTCTCAACTCAGATTATGTTAATGTTAATAATAATTATAATTGTATAAGTTGATAAAAAATGCTATGCAATAGCTTTACTGCGGCAGTCCCCGAGTGCCACACGTATTTTTAATATTGGTTTTGTGAAAAAATTTATTCGTGATAAAAAGTTCTACATGATCAAAAATTAAAAATATAATCATCAGATATCAATTTTTTTTGTATATTTGGTTTATCCTACTTCAATAAATATCTATCTATATTTTTTATACTTAAAAGGTGTCATACCTTTCGTTTTGGTTATATTTAATTTTAATTTATTTTCAAGTACTTGGTAATGTTGTGAACTCATTTTTTGCATGGCAAGATCACTAACTGATACTAAAGTATCATCAGTAAAGATGTTTATGTACTCAAATTCATTGAAATGTTCTACTTAGTTAACATTAAAAAATAGTTCCATAAGAAACCCGATGTAAATTATTTTCGTCGTCAATTTTCCGTTAGAAAAATAGTTTCTGATCCAGTTTAATTCCTTGTCATTTACTCTATACACATCTCTAATTTTCTGAGTAATATTTATTGGTTTTCTTTTTAAAAAATGTGTTATAAGTCTAAGAATACTGAAAAATAGTACACATACCTTCACTCATATTATTTTCCCATTCACAGGAATGATGAGGTGTGAAACCATATTGACTGATAAAAAGTATTTTTTTCTCAGTAAAATATTCCCATAGTTGGTTGTAAACTTCCAATTCTAAGTTTTCTTGCATAAAGTAAGGTGGCTAAAATTCACTAGTCTCACTCGCTATCTTTTGGCACTTGTAGAATGTTTTATACTGCATTATGTTCGGTCCATTTTGGAGTACAGCTCTACCACATGGTGTCCATTTTACAACTCTATAAAAAGGATTAAAAATGTTTAAAATAACTATCAACGACCCCTTTAGCGTTCGGTTTAGTCCGATTAGTGACAGTTTAACACGCTTAAACGTCATTTGAAAGTACCCTAAAAAACTCCGCTTTTGTCCCGCTCCAGTCCCCGACTGTCCGAACTCGCCTTTAGAGTTCGGTTTAGTCCATAGATTAGTGAAAGTGAATAGATGGGAAACTCAATGGTAAAATCACAGCTTATACAATACAGCTAAAACACTCTCTTGGCGGCAACGGTTTGCGTCGATTCCGTCGCGCGTCGCTGAAGCTCCGCCTTCGGACGTAAAAGACAGCTTTGGCGTTCAGAAGCGTACTTAGGTAAGGTATTGAGCCGTGCGTATAATTTCGTTAATTGCATAATTTCGTTGAGCCTATAATTTCGTGGATTTTGTTTAAGCTTTCTGTTGTGTTAAGTTAAAAGTACTATTAATATTTTGATGACTCTTAAGCTGCGAGTAGAATGAGTAAAAATAAGATATCATTCTGTTTGTACAGTCAAAAGCTGTTTTAATAAGGGTTATACCTACAAGAAAACATTCTTTCATTTTCCCAAGAACGCAAACTGATAGGTACCACATTATAAGAAATCTTCATTTTTAAAAATATAATTTATACAGGGTGTTCCATTAGTGCGTAAGGTACGTAAACATTGAATTTGTATCGTAGACACGCGAAAGAGTTTTAAATAAAAGTTATATGTATTTGAAAAATACCTACATATTTTAAAAATATCTTTGGATATACAGGGTGTCGCGTTTTTGCCTGGCAAATTAAAATGAATGTTTTTTAAATGGAACACCCTGTATTTTTTTTATGATGAAATTATTGACAGCCTAAATTTTTGTAAAGATGAGTTGCTACAGAAAAAATTTATTAGGTACGTGTGTGGTTACCTTTTAATAAAAGCCTTGCGGATCCACTCCTGTGATAACTGTCTTAAATATAACAAAGATCACGATGAATTAGATTTTTCTATTTATTGCTTTTTAAAGGCATATGATAACGCCAATTCAGATACATTTGAAAATACGCAACTGCCAAATGATGAATTTGTAGAACTAATTTTCAATATTGAAAAGATATTTCAAAATAATTTTGAAGCATTGTGCTACAAAAAATAACATTTGTACTACACTTTTAGAATTAATTAACTCAATAC